TATATATATATATTAATAAAGATACCTTTGTTTTAGTAGAAAAAGACTAAATTTCAATCATCAATGTCATAATCTCGGTAGTGCATAATACCTAGATGCATACAATGTTTTAGCCGTTAATAAGCATTTATCAAAAAATCAAAACGATGTCTTGATCAAGCGTCCGCTATTTACAGGGTTGCAAAGCTTCAGCATTTCCAGTTACAAACATAACCTTACTGTTTAAGTGCATTCCTTTACAGGAAAGTGGGTTCACGGGTACAGCTAGTTGCGTCGTATAAATGTGACACGGGATGTTCAGATTGACAACCATTTGCAGTGACAATACAACCTAAAGTTATTTGTTTTGAATAAGATGTCATTTTTTTGGTGACTGTTGATGCTTTCAGCTTTCAATTTTATGCAAATGAGATGCAGCATGCTGTGGAACGAATAGCAGCCAAGAGACTCGATGACCTCCAGCAGTTTAATCACTGTCTGTGTGAACGCATTTTTAAATTGAATCACTTGCTTTACGAGGTTGCAAACCAAGAAGCGTTTTCCAAGTACTTACTAAAAATCATTACACTTTTTTTCTCATGCAAAAAATAGTTTTTTTGAAGTGAAAATAGACAATAATAAGTTATTGCTAGTAACTGTTCACAACTTCGGAACAGTAAAGCTGGCGACATGGAAAACAAAACATTCACAAGAAATTAACTGAAGGTGTTGGTTTACAAAGCCCCTAAGGGGACATGGTGATGGAAAAAAATGAGATTGGATGACAAATGCTTTTGCTTTCTCTCGCAAAAATATTGCGATCCCCGAGTAGCTTTGCGTTCACTTGGAAAACATTTGCGTTTTCTTGCAAACTATTTTGTTCCCCCGAGAAACTTTGCGGTTACTCGCAAAACGTGTTCCCCTGAGACACTTTCTTGCGAACATTCTTTTGCAAAACATTTGCATTCTCTCGCAAAAGTACTGCATTCCCCCGAGGAACTTTGCGTTTGCTTGTAAAACATTTGCATAAAACATTTACGTTCACCCACAAAATATTTGCGTTCTCTCCGGAAACTTTGCAGTCGCTCAAGTCATTTGCATTCATTTGCAAAAGTATTGGGTTTCCCCCAAGAAACTTTGCGTTTACCCACAAAACATTTGCATTCTCTCGCAAAAGTTCTGCATTCCCCAGAGAAACTTTGCGTTTGCTCACAAAACATTTGCATTCGCTAAAAAAGTATTGCATTATCTCAAGAAACTTTGCGTTTGCTCTCAAAACATTTGCGTTCTCTTGCAAAGTATTGCATTCACTAGCTAATATTTCCATTAACTCGTAAAACATTTGCGTTCTCACTAAATATTTGCATTTGCCTTTGCAATGTTTTGCGAAAGAAAACAATACTTTAGCAAGCATACTCAAATGTTTTGTGAGCAAATGCAAAGTTTTTTGGGGCAATGCAATATTTTTAAGAGTGATCGCAAAGGTTTTTTGTTGGAACGCAAGATTTTTGTGAGCGAACAAAAATGTTTCGTGGAGTAACGCAAAAGGTTTGTAATCAAACTCAACATTTCTCAGATTAACAAATAACAATTAACAAACAAAAAAATAATTTTACAAACAAATATTTTTTATCTCCTATCCCATGTTATTTAGCATCGCTTATGTCCCTTTAGAGGCTCCATAATATTTATAGGAATCCAATTTTTAGCTTAATTTTAGAATGGCTCTTTACACAATCTCAAAATTAATTTTACACAATCTAATCCATCAAATGCCCCTTTATGTACTATTACACTCTTAGGGCCGGTTCACAGAGTATGTTTTTGTGTTAAAAACGTGAGACAGTGCAGTATAATAGGGGGGAAAAAACCCCCCGAAAGGTCTCAAAACATTGTTTTAACATGAGTGCAGTCTCATGAGAGTCACCGTAAAACATGCGAGTGCAGTGGTCAAACATGTCTGTCTAGCGCATGTTTACATAGAAAAATAACAGAAAAGCGTCACAATATAATGCAAAAAATGCATTCTGTGTGAACGGCCCCTTACGCAACAACCTTTTAACGTAGATAACTGCACATAGAGTTTACGTTTACAAAAGGCGGTATGACAGACATTTTCTCATTAGCTTCTGTTCCTGGTTTATATAGGGAAGTAAAAAACAATGAGACGTTTTTCACCGTGACGTCGAGACTAGGCACTGTGGTTCTGAGAAAACATCAAGAACGGAGAAGAGTGACAGACTACTGGAGGGACAGACAGACAAACGGTGTGAAACTTTCCCTTCAGACAGGAAGGAAATTAAAGCAAGCTAGGCTTTGCATCTGCAGCATGTGATTTCTGGGTCACTGCACTGAATGTTTCCTTTAAAAACGGCTATATATTATAAAATGGTTATCAGAAACGGGCTCTCTGAGAACTGTTATTGTCATTAAACCAAATTTACATGAGGAAGAGCATGCAAACTCTACACAGAATGAAGCTCAAACCTCAAGATTCAGTACAAATCTGTGTTTAACTTGCATCAAGCCCAACAGACACCTGTGTTCAAACAACAGGAGTGTGGTTCGCTCAAATATTGAATGTTGCTTCAAAAAAGCCAACATTGCAAAATTGCAACAGTGCATTTTCACTGTATTTTTCGTGCAGTGTCACGCTTGCAGTATACATGCTGTAACAGGCCTCACTTGTCGTTTCCACACTCCTTTAGCCCTTTAAACAGTAGATTACTGTAAAACTGCACAACCTGGAGCACTTGTGCTCTGTCAGAAGGCATCGGTCGTGAGGTATTGATCTGCTTTGTATTTGAGCACTGCATTTTATAACTCGAAAACTGCAGTTACGGACTGAGACCGTAACACTGGGAGTGAGCCGATAAAACTATAAATAATTCATGTTTTTCACAATAACGGGAAAAAGAAACCACTAAACATTCGCAAATGTTGAAATATGACTGAATTACGATGAAGAATTCTGTGTCGTATTTATGTTTTCCCAGGTTAACATGGGGGAAAAAATGAATTCTGTGTTCATAACAACATTAACCATGAAGCAAAATCCCTGTAGCTTTGCAAAACGGTCAGTTTCACCAGTTACGGCAGATCTACGTGGAAGTCACTTGGGTGAAAACTGCGTGTATAAAGCGTACACTATCAAAAGTTACCATGTCAATATTAAAAAATCATATTGCTGTATGAATAAGTTGGATTTTAGGGTTTCTATTCACAGTTTCTGGCCCAAGGGACCAGTAAGTAATTATAAAATATCCTAAAACCACAGGATGCATTTTAATTGGCAGTGTCTTGTTTTGTTCTCTTTAAATCAATAACCGCAGAAAGCATTGTTTAACTCAACGGTAATGAAGAGCCCTGATGTTCCTGGCGTTTTCATCCAGAAATCCCAAAAATAGTGGTTCACATGACGCCCCTTAATAAAAGATCACAGTGTAGCTGTGGAGGGGACTTGTTTTGAAGGCCCCTGAGAGAAACGGCCCTCTCCGAGCATGTCGTCTTCTAGAAATCAAGCAGAAGAATGAGCCAAAGGCGGCTCAGTACATGTCTCTGTAAATCTCCTGCAGTAAGGGATGCAGCGAAGTGTCTTCTGTCTTTTTGATTTCCTGCACTAACTGAGCGTGCTCCGTCACCAGCTGCCGCAGGTCCACTAGTTTCTGCAGGAGTTTAGGGAAGAGGAATCCGTTGTCGGGATGGTTGCTCTTGAGGTGCAGATGAAGCACGTTTACGATGCTCTCCTGCATTCGCTCGATGTGCGGGACGTTCACCAGGCCTGGCCGATCTGGAAGACAAGACAGGGAAGAGCATGAGTCAAAAAAAAAACACTGGCATGCAAAAGCTGATCTGCTCTTGTTAATACTTGTCTATTAGAATAAAAAAAAAAAGTTCTACAACACAGCACAGATTCCATCTAGCGGTTGAGCTTTTTAAGCCTATATAAAATTATTATTGCAAAAAGTAAAAAATTTAAATAATAAAATAAAAATATCAAAATTGAATCATACATATGAGATTATATTTTTATTTTTAAATACATAAATAATATAAATTGATTAATTAAATATGGCATCAAATTTAAAAATATATAAATACAAATCTAATTGAAAAACATTTCATAAAAATTAAATCTTAAAATTCTATCTATCTATCTATCTGTCTGTCTGTCTGTCTGTTTGTCT